TGAGGTCTGGGCTCTAGGGAGGTCAATCCATGACTGATGGTGTTCCAATATGTGTTATTTATCCAGATTTGCTTTTACATGATTGCAAGAGTGTTTGATGTTTTCCAGATGGTGGGTCAAAATCTGCACATTTCTGTGTTCAGAATTGCATCAATTTTGACAAGATCTCCAACACCACAGTTTGAAATGCAGCATCTATCCATTAAACAGCCTCCGCCATGTTTTACAGATGGCTGCAGACACTGATGTAGGTCTCTCCTACATGCAAACATATTGACAATGACTTAAACCAAAAATGTCTAATTTGGACTAAACCTGATGCCACAGGTTTAGTCCAGTTCTTGTGTTATTTGTCGAACCTCATCTTTTTCCCCATTTTTCTTCCTTAAGAATGGCTTCTTGATAGCCACCCTTCCACTGAGACTATTTCTGACGAGGCTTCAGTGAACAGTGGCCCGATTAATTGAAGCGCCAGATGCCTTTCTCAGGTCCTGTGTCAGTTCTTTGGTAGACTTCTCTTCTTGATCTTCCACGCGTCAAGAAATGCACAACAGTGTTAGTACACTAGTAATAGTAATGTAAAAACATTCAATTACTAACAAGAAACTACTCTATAATTTTGAAGATGGTGGCATCAGCAATCTCCCCATATCTGCTCATGCTTACTGAGTACCATATCATGTAAATGCATTATACATGAAGCCAGGAGGTAAAACACTGAAAATATTACTGCTGTAAGTGTAGGGCAGCCTTCACTGATGGAACACAGTATAGTCAGGAGAGAAGATGGTAAGCCTGTATACACCTGTGGGAAATCTGTTTGCATTGTCATCGGATGGTTGGCTTTGTGGAAATCTGCAGTAACTAGTTTGGTTTGCAGAGTTCGAGCTTTGATTCTTAGAAATTGGGCTGTCAGTTATTTTGTGGGAGTGTTTGTAGCTGTGGGCACTGGGTGTGTACCAACAGCAGCAAACTAATCTGGGTTTTGTATTCATGCTCATTATATTCTCCATCTCCTCTCTCAACCCTTGGTATTTTTCCAGCTTCCTGTGTTCCTTAATATTAGAGATCAGGTCAGCAAGAATGTGCTTTAAGTAGTTGTCATTTATTTGAAATCTCACCAGATATTTCCATACAAAAGTGTGATTTTTTTCTTAATAATTATACATATTCATCTATGTAATGGGAGCAAGACATACTTGGCATGTACTTCTACTTAGCAGTTTTAGAAAGTTCCACAAGGGAACTAGTGCTCGACTTTATAGCACGCAACAGACCCCAGTCTGAACCACATCCTCTAGACTAACAGAGTTCTTAAGAAGAGCTCAACAAACGAAAAGAGAACAGAAAGACTGGAGCTTCTGAAATATATACAGCTAAAAAAAGGCTGAGTTTCAAATTATCCACCAGCTTATATTCAGAATCTCTGAGCCCTGTTGTTACATGAGAACATGCAGCTTGGTTTGATTAGATGGTTGTAGTCTTTGTCTCTAGTAGAAACACACACACACCTCACACAATACCCTCACAAAGAGAAAGCCTCTGATAAACAGCTTGGCCAGTGGTGAGGAAGTGCAAACATACACAGCGTCCATCGACGCCTCATACGTAGGGCGGAAATCCTCCGTGGTCATTAAACCAGACTGTCCTCCTGCCACATAGCAAACACTTTTTTATGACCTGAAATGAGTGAGCGCACCTCATCTAGACTGGGCTGAAATATATGACTATTATTTTGCTTTCCTGGTATCTGTCTAAGAAATGTCGTGTTTAACACAAAGAGATTATTTGACATGCTGGAAACATTTGCTTTCCCATCAACACAAACGTATTGAGTGAAAAAACCATTAGGGTTGTTCTGCTACCAGCATCTCTCAAATTTATAAATAAACATTAATTTATATAAAGAAAATATGGGGCATGATCTTAAGAGAGGCTGTATATGGAACTAATTCTGTGTAGAGTGCAGTGACTGACTAGATAAGTGCAAAAAAAAAAGTGCACCTTCATTCAGTTTCAGTTTTTTATGTATTGGGACATAGCAAAATTATTTTTCTTAATACAAATTGAGCTGAAATGAGGAAACAGTGTCTACAAAGTTAAGCAACTAAGTGCTTGTTTTCTGTATGACTTCATTTGTCTCTCACATCATTGTTCAGGAACTTCCGCACTTTTTTATAGCGTTGCTAAAGCTCAATGAGGTTTGTGGCCATCTATTTATGCAAAGGTTTTTAGAGGTACTCCCACAAACCTTCTGTTGCATGACCTACTTTTAGTCAAGCT